CCATATATAAGCTACTTAAATTCTAAACACTAAAGGTGTCACTACACAGTGAACTGTGGTAGGATGAGACTACGGGATGTCAATTTTATAATTTTGAAACAAAATTTCTAATAGCTGCGCGTCTAACTTGCAAGTCTCTGCAAATTTTCTGGTTGCGTACTATTTTGGATATATTTGTCCTGTGAAAGAAAAGATGACATTTCGCGGGAATTTTGCTGTTGGACATTTTTTACTGGAGATTTTGAACGAACGTACCTATTGACTAACCAACATTTAACAGAACGGTTACGAAAGGCTTTAACTGACGTAAAACCAGATTGTGAAAATTTTGCCAAAGAGTTCTTTTGAATTTTATTTAATATCTATCTCATGTACATAAACGGCATATAACTTAAGGACGAGCACACGTAAAAGTTAAAAATTTTAAAAATAGAAATATTAACAAAAACTAACAAAACCTACGATCACAAGATCAAGTGTAAATAGCATCGGAATAGCTGCGCTAGATTGTAGTTGGCTTAACACATGAAAAATGTGGAAGAGGCAACAACAGTTTGCGTGGCGAACTTAGCTCAGTGGGTATGACTACTGACTTTGACGGATGGGGTCGTTACATCGAATCCCAGTTGAAGAAGTCTGATGAGGAGATGTGGTGATCTACGAAATAGCAGCTATAACTTCTACCAAAATGTAGATTGTTGTTTTTTCCGCCAAAATATTGATTAAAAAATGGCTTCAAGCTTAACAAAATTGTTGAATATATTTGTTATAAGGTCATAAATAACAAAAAAAAACAAAAAACAAATATATAATATACAGCGTGGCGACGAATAACTGTTACCCGTTTTTTTTTTTGAGAAATAAAAAGGTCCTTTATAGATTTTGCGAAAAAAGTATTTTATTGTTAATTTTCCACAGATTTCACTTTAGTTGTAATAATTAGTTTTTAAATTTGAATCCTTATTTACATTTGCCAGCAGTGTAAACTGTGAGAGAAAAGTTCATTTGGCACGCAGGTTCAGTTAATTTATTCCATATCTTCTGTAACCATAGGCAAATTTTCTCCATTTTGAGTCCCTTATACTCTCCCTTTTGTCCAACCTAAGGCCTCATACTGAAAAATCGAATGGGCTTGGAACAGGGGATGACCATCATTCGACCACCCTTATACAGTTTTTCTTTTTTGTATTTTTTTATACAAAGCCTAAGAAAAAATACACCTTACAATACTTGCGTGCCAAATGAACTTTTCTGTCAAAGTTTAAACTGCTGGCAAATGTAAATAGGTATTAAAATTTAATAACTAATTAAATTAGTAAAGTAAAATCTATGGAAAATTCCCTGCTGAAGTCTAGAAAAAAAGAAGTCTGATGAGGAGATGTGGTGATCTCCGAAATAGCTGCTATAGCTTCTACCCCTTAGAGTTTGTTGCTTTTTCAATTTTTTCTAATAAACAATCATGGTACAAAGCTCAATAAAAAATATTTAAAAAAAAAAATACTTTTTTCGCAAAATCTATAAAGGACCATTTTTTTCTCAAAAAAAACCAAGGTAACAGTTATTCGTCGCCACCGTGTATAAAAAATCTGCTTTATACCCGGTATAGTTTCTAGAAACAAAGGAAGTCCTTTTCTATTTTAAAATTCAAGTGGTTCAAAAAATATCGTGAATTTTTCAAACGAATTATGTATTACAAAAACAAATTACGAATGTTGTGGCCTAAATATTGTTTTCTTTATAAAAAAGCGCAAATGTAATGTTTAAATCAGCAGTCCAATATGACTGTATTAAAGTTTTAAAAGAAAACGAATAATTTTTATTTAAAATGAGTTTTTTCAAAAACGGCTCGAAAAGTTTCGGTCTGTAAAATTTTGAATCATTATTTATAACGTAATTAACACAAATTAGTAAAAAAAAAATTATGTGCTATGACCTTCAAGCTAAAGTTGGTTCAGGCTCACAGTGAAGTACATACATGTCTAATTGTATCTTCTTTGCTTCTTCCAACCTTTCTTTTCATTTGACTCCCTTTGGCTGAATATCACACCTGGTCTGATGGCTCTAACAACACAGCTGAATTTCTCACCTCACAGTCGCGCACCGAAGAGGCGATTTTTTATCGCGTACGTGCTGCTGAGCTTGCGACCGATGACTACGCGTTAGTAGTAGCGGCTGCTACGGCTTTACGCCTGTCTGATCGCAAGGTGGAATCCGAAAGTTGGTACCGCAAGGTGAGGCAAAGGAAGAGCAATAAATTCCTACAAGAAAATCAAATTCACTGCCATTAAATAATCTACTTTTCTCTTTTCAAAATTAAACAAATAACTATGTTCTCTGTTCCATATTCCACGATTGCAGGCGGTGACGATGAGACCCAACGACGCCCACGCCCATACAAACTTGGGTGCCATTCTGCATCTGCTGGGACGCACCACACATGCGGCTAATAGCTACCAAGAAGCCTTAAGATTGCAGCCAGGGGATCCGACAACATTAGGAAATCTCGCAAAGCTGGACGTCATTAAATCGAAGTGAATGCATTTGAATGCATTCTTGAGGAAAGTGATGTCATGGGTATGACTTTGTCAATACCTGACTAAGCTCAATTGTAATATGATAAAAACTGCTGCAGTAGGAATTAGAGTTTTGAACAGTTTTTGGATAAACAAGAAGATCGAAATATTTTTTATAAAGATTAACATAAAATTGTGTATATAATTCAATAACATAAAAGGACTTGAAATTCTTCACATTATCAATAACAAAATACCAAACGAAAGAGGAACTTCATGCACAAAAAGTGGGATTTAGCTCAGCTGAAGAATTTGTATTGAAAATCGAGTCAGAGCTAAGCTCACTTTTTATACGTGAGGATGATTAATTAAGTTTGTAGCTTCAAAGTAAATTGGAGGAATTAAAACAAAACAATAATAAAATACGTGTTTGCATATATATAATTATGTAGTTTAGCCGCTTGTAAATAACAGCTATGCGGATCATAAAGTCTACGTATGTTGGTTTTGTGTTATTTACTTAATTCAATTTGTGTAAATTCTCAAACTGAACGAGTATGTATTTGTTGCAAGACGCAGAATTAAAAAATCGTTGGGCAGCGAAAAGCATTTAAGTATTGTTAAAATCCGAAATTGTCGACTATAAGAAATGTAAATTTATGTTTAAATATGATATCATATACATATACATAACTGAGGAAGGCAATGATTATGAAAAGCTAACAATAAGCAAGGTAATGGGATTAGCCAAGTGCTAGAGAAGGGATGAGTTAATGTAATGTGTGTAATACGAATAATAGTAAATATAAATTATGAAAGTGTAAATGATAATAACTGCTTAATGTAATGAATATTGTATCAAACAGAGGTCATATTGAAATACATACATACATGAAAATAATTTAAATACATGAATGAACAATAAATACTTATACAAAAATATTTTAAAGTTTAAGATTGTAAAAATTTAGGTATTTGACACAGTAAGTATTACCTTCGTCATTTAGTTCGTTAGCCACCATCAGGACCAGGTATTGCCTAATATTACACTGGTCAACAGTGGTTTTGGCGCCAAGGAGCTATAATTCTTTTTTAACTTAGGACTTTATACTGATTACATATGTATGTAAAGATAAATTCTTATTACTTCCTAGGCGCAGTCTTCTACAGTTTTTACTTGTTCAGAAAAACAAAAATTTTCATCAAAAACTGCATTTAATAAATTATAATGTACATACAAACTTTCATTTTCGGAACTTTCGTGAATTAGGTGTACTAGAACAATCACGTTGCATCCCCCAGGAGAAGTTGCCCATCATATGACGATCCCTCGGCCTTGGTGCTGTTTATGTAGGGCACTTCCGTGGCCATATTACACCCTAAGGTTTTAAAGCTCTCCACCATGTCGTTTACGATTTCGGAGAAAGTACTTGACTTTTAATTTCCCAGAAAATTTTTATTGAATTCTACAAACGAAGTTCACGCAGGACATTCGAAATCGCTCACTGAACTTAAAAAATCGACACCCTTTATTAACATTCTTATTTGGGGGCCATAAAACTGCCCCGCTTTTATCTTTTTTATTATTACAACGCTTTTATCAACTTGCAATGTTGTATGCTCAGACCACCATACTATAAATATAGCAGAGCTGTGTAATGATTGAATCAATTGAGTGTGCATTCTCATTTTTTTCGTTTCAAAAATGTGATTGTTTGGTTTAAAAAATTTGACAACCACTCTTGAGATTGGTTACAAATCGTAAACACTATATATGTAGAGTGTTATGGAATGGTTGAGACCCATTCTCATAGAGAATGTGAATGCAAAAAAAAACTCAATCATGTATGATTGTACGTTTATGGGAATGCAATCTGTCATTATCAATCAGTACTAATACTATTTGTTGTATCAGGGTTGAAATTTTTGTACTCAAAATGTGAAATCTGAAGATTGCCATCTCCCTTAAAATAACTAAACAAATAAATATTTGGTGCTGAAATATTTTTCTAAGTGTTTGGCCGAGCTTCTCCTCAAACTTGAGGCATGAGTTCTGTTGTTGGGACACAAATGGAGACACTTACATATTTAAGGCTGACACCGAACGCCAAATGATTATATAAAAAGAGTTTTCAAGGCGGAAATATACTCGGAGGTTTGTAATTGCGTGCCGAAGGACTACTGCTATTTTGGGTTATGATCTGACCAGGGATCTAACCATGGTTCTATGGAGTGGAAGTACGCACATGTATGTATACATCAGGGATGAAAAATGGAAATTTCAGATTGTACCTAATATCATAAAATAAATGTACCTAAATGAGATAGACTGTACCTAAAAAAAATTACATCATTCATTTGTATTATTATTATAAATTTTTTTTAAAACATGAATACAAAAGATGGATGTACTTTAAACATGATTAGGTTTTTTTTTAACAGAGCCTATATCTATAGACTATAGTCTAATGGGAATCGAAGAAGCATTGTTTTTGTTTAATTTTGACTACTGAAAAATATTGGCGAAAAAGACAAAAAACACACTTTTCGAAGTGTACTTCTTTATCCAGCTTTTTATAAAACAACAGGAAAAGTCTGCTAGAAAATAATCAAATTGCCGTAAGTAACTTCGAAAGCATTTTAAATATATTTCCAGAAATCAAAAAGCGAATATGGGTCAAATAGCTGTAGTTCTCATCTAAAGAAAATATGAAATTTGAAGACATCCCAGACACTGGACTGTATGTAGGGATGCAAATGATGCATCGATGTTTTCAAAACATCGATGTTTCGTCCAAAAAAATCGATGTTAATATCGATGTTTTGCTGGAGGATACATCGTCGATACATCGACTAGGAAAGTGAAAAACATCGACATCGTTCACTCACTCCGTTCGTAATAGAAAAAATTACGAATTTGAGGATAGCTAAGTAAAGTGTTAATTTTTCGTAGTAGCTGCTCTAAAAACAGTGTAAGATGTTTAAGATAATACTTAATATGACTTTTTTGAATTCTTCCTTTTGACCTCTTTTCTTTCGAATTGTTTATTCTTCAAAATGAAATCGAAGCTTTTCGCGTGCCTACAAGTAAATATATTAGCACGGTAAAGGAAAAAGAAAAAAAAAACTAAAAATGCATCTGATCAAAAGATGATTGTACCTAAAATCTAGTGGCTGTACCTAATGTACCTTTAAGTCATCAAACGTCGGAAAAAGGTACAATTGTACCTACTTTTTCATCCCTGGTATACATTATTCCCTTATTTGTTCTCAAAATGCATGACAACTATAGTACGTTTGCAAACAATTAATAACATTTTGTGATAAATAGTTTTACAAATGTATTAGGATATCAAATTTGTGTTTTAGTAAAGTATCAATTAAATAAATTATTATTGTAAATTATTATTATAATAAATAGATATAAAAATGTTTATATTTGGCAACTCTTAGACTTTTCTTTAATTGCAACAAATGACAGATGTAAACAAAATAAAAAAATTATTGTAATTTTACAAATTTAAAGAAAACGGGCATTCTTTACAAAAAATATAGTAAGGGATCGAATTGCGAATATTTTTCTTACAATACCAAGTGCCTCCAAGAAGTGTTAAACCACTAAATACCTTAAAAAAACGCCTTCAACAATTCGAAACGAGAGCGAAGTGCAGTGTTCAATTGTGATCGAAATTGCAGGCAAAATTTGTGCGTTTGTAATTAATGTTTTATTTGAAGAAATGTTGCCCCTTGTCATTAAAAATAAGCAAACCAAAGGTCTCCTCCCCACCCGCCTTCCCACTGGTGGTTACATAATACTTGAATAGCCCCTTAATTAACATTTGCTTGTTTTGTGCACGCACGGCCATTTAAACAGGCATGTCTGAATCGATTTCCTTCAACATTCTTAGCAATTCGATGTGCATTTTTATTGTTATCTGTTGCAAACAGACATTTTAGGAACTAAATAGGTTCTAAAATCTCTGTACACAAGCGCACTTATTTTTAACAGTTTCCAGTTTATGCAATATTGGTCAAAACCAGGGACGTGAACCGGTTTTGAACCGAACCGGTTTTGAACCGGAAAACCGCTTTTTATACCTTTCATGAGCATGAAATGGTATTATAACTTTGGTCCGATGTTTGTAAGTACCAGAATAAGAAGAGATAGACCCATTAAAATGTATACTTAAATGATCAGAACGGCGAGCTGAGTCGATTTAGCCATGTCCGTCTGTCCGTCTGTCCGTCTGTCTGTCTGTCTGTCTGTCTGTCTGTCCGTCTGTTTGTATGCAATCTAGTCTCTCAGTTTTCGAGATATCCGGATTAAATTTGGTAGGTGGGTGTATTTTTATAATGTATTAATCATTTGTCGGAATCGGAAGAATCGGAGCACTATAACATATAGCTCCCATACAACTGATTGTTCACATATGAGATTTTTCGTTATAACTTCTCCATTTATGCAGCTAGGAACATGAAATTTTGCAATACTTCCACCCATTATCAACAGAAAACTTAGAGTGAAAATTACAAAGATCGGGTCACTATAACATATAGCTCTCATAAAACTGATTGTTCAGATATAAGATTTTTCGTTATAACTCCTCCATTTAAGTAGCTAGACACATGAAATTTTGCACTGTTGTCACTTATTATCAAAAGAATACTTTCAGTGAAAATGGCGAAGATCGAGTCACTACAACCTATATCCACCATACAACTGATTGTTCAGATATGAGATTTTTTGCCATAACTTCTTCATTTATGCAGCTAGGAACATCAAAATTCGCACCGTTTCCACTCATTGTTAACAGAATACTTATAGTGAAAATAACAAAGATCGGGTCACTGTTACATATAGGTCCCATACAACTGATTGTTCAGATATGCGATTTTTTGTTATAACTACTCAATCTACGCAGCTAGAAACATGAAATTTCGCACTATTTTCACTCATTATCAACAGAAAGTTTACAGTAAAATTAACAAAGATCGGGTCACATTAACCTGTTTATTGCCCCCATACAACTGATTGTTCAGATATGGGGTTTTACTGTAAAACTCCTTTATTTGGACAGCTAAAACCAATAAATTTCGTAAGCTATTTTTTAAATAATAATACAAAGTCAACTGAGAAAATCGTCAAAATCTATGCTGTATAA